GGCCCTCCGCATCAGAGATGCGGTTTACCAGCTCAGAGAAAAAGTAAGGAGGAGCCATAGCACTGTTCCAGTGACTCTTTTGAGTTCAGCCACAACAGAGAGGATGGGATTTAACCCTGAATCTGGACGTGTTTGTGGAGAGGTGCAGAAAATGGCGACCGATCTGTTTTTCTGCATCTCTACATACAACACATCCAGATTCAGGCACTTAATCCAACCCTCTTTGCTACTGTGAGGTCGCCCCAGGTACCTCCCCCTTCAAGTGGCCCTGATCCAGGGGTCCCGGCCAGCCCTTCCACCTTTCCTCCTTTCTCCTTAGACTGCCTCGTAGGGTCTCACTCCACTATTCACCACAGTGACTGTTTACGTATCTGAACTGCTTTATCGACCATGTGCATTTTGACTGTTCAAACATTTGCATGTATCATGACCACTCTCAACTGCAGATTCATTTAGAATATTGTGCAGTGGAGCAAGGGCTCACTCCACTACTCACCAATGGCTACGTATCTGGACTGCTTTATGGACCATGTGCATTTGAACTGTTTGCGCATTTTGAATTTATTACGACCATGCCAGCCGCAGATACATTGAATGTTGTGCAGTGGAGCAAGGCCTCACACCGCTACTCACCATTTGATACGTATCTGGCCTACTTTATGGACCATGTGCATTTGGACTATTCGAACGTTTTGAATATATTCCGAGCACTGTCAGCCTCAGATACATTTACAGTGCTGTCCAGTGGGTAAATATCTAGTCTGGGTCACCCGAGCTGCTGACCCAGGATGGACCCCCCCCCCCCGCCCCACACACAACACACACACACAACCCGTGAGCATATGGAAAAGAGAGACAAAAGAAAAATCCGGGGCGAGGGAAGGTTTCGGCACGCGACTTCTGCGGCGCTCGCTCGCCTGCGCTGTCATCATGGCTGGCAACTATGGTCAATTTCACCATAGCTATCCAACCTCCTCTGATGAGTGGAGGTAATTAGGGTTTTTCGGCAAATTTCCACCGCGAGCCTCTCTCTTCGCGTGGAAGCTGGCACCCTAGGAGACCGCCTTCCCCAGCACGATCCACCTTTTCAGTTACCCAGAACTACCCAGACTTAGCAGCGTAACGCTCACGTCGAGCGTTCCGCTACATGCGTCCAACCATTTTTCTCTCCGAAGGGGATATAGCGAAGTAACTTTTTCTCGTTTTTTCCTCCAAGGAAATTCATCATTGCAAGACTGTTTTTGGAAAATGACCTTCCAGCTTGTCCTCCGAAGACATTGGGCAGCAGTACTTCACTCTCCAACATCGATCAGACTGAAGAGGAGACTCCGTTTCCGGCGATGCTTCTTCCGGGTGAGACTCGCGCAAATTGGCATCTTGTTTCAGAGTAAGACCGGGGTCCGATTAGGTCCTCACTTCCCGCCCTCTTCCGCCTCATCTCACGCTTACCCCCCACACCAACACTACGATCTCCCCTCCCCCCCCTCCTGGTCTTGTCCCAGGATCTACCCCTCGACCCCCCTTATCCGTCTCCGCGCAATAGCTCTCCCCCTCGTCCTGTCCAACAAATACCTAGGTTACCCGGGTACAACCTTCCCCAACCTAGGAATTCGTGCCTACACTTCTCTCCCATGGAACCCCACTTTTCCCCCGAACCCGTCACTACAGAATCGCTCCCCCAAGTTCTTATCGCTTTCATGTAATAGCCCTTTTGTCTTTATTACCGAATGTCAGACCTGTTCATGCCTGTTCTCCCCCGATCGTCAGCGCCCCCCCCCTCCCCATAAGGCGCCCGACTTACCCCCCATCTCCACGCATCCCAGTCAGGTACACTCAACCCTGGACCCCCTCCTTCCCACGCCCCATCCAGTTCAGACCCCCGCACTCCAATTCCCTAACTTTTCCGCATAATAGGTCTCGTGTCCTCTCCCCTGTCCCACAGTCCGCTACCACCCAAGATCACATATTCCAACCCGATACACTCATCCCTCGATCGTTTCTCCCCGCGGCCTATCCCGTCCAGACCCTCGCACCCTAAGTTCCTAACTTTTCCATATAATAGATTTCTTATTTTTTTCTCCCGACCCTCTGGCCGGTACCACCCAAGACCACATATTCCAACCCGGTACAGTCATTCCTCGATCGTTTCTCCCCGTGGCCTATCCCATCCAGACCCCCGCATCCTAAGTTCCTAACTTTTCCATATAATAGATTTTTTGTTTTCTCTCGCAACCCTCTGGCCGGTGCCACCCAACACCACATTTCCAACCCGATACACTCACCCCTAGATCAGTTCTCCCCTCAGTTCTCCCCGCGGCCCATCCCGTCCAGACCCCTGCGTCTTAATCTAATAGGTTTTTGTCTTTTCCCCTGTTCTTCTAGCCGCCCCCAGCCCCGCGCCCCACACTCACATATTCACCTCAACACGACACATCTCAGTCTCTCGATAAACACACTCCCAGCTAACCCTTCCGCTTACTCGCTCTACTCCACTCACCCATCCTGCACGCCGTCCCGCCACTGTACTCAACCCCGTCCTACCTTTCAACCCCCAAACTATCCCTCGAGTTGCTCCCCTTCCCTGACACTGACCCCACGATAAACCGACATACCAATACAATCGATCCTCCTCCCTCCTCAGCCATGACACTGTTAACCCACTATCGCGCACACAACAACTGTTGTGGCAACAATGGAACCTGAGCAGGCCCTCGGCACCTCAACCGGAGCTGACCCCACCAGTGAGGAATCTCTGAAATTACAAGGCATGATGAAAGGATGGTACATAGATAATATATCTCAAGATGTTTCTGCGTATGTCGAAACAAAAATCAACGAAGAGGAAGATTGCATCGAGGTCCGCCCTTCAGAAAACTTGCAGAGAGTCCAGAACGAATTTCTTAAGAAGATGACAGTGGCTATCGTTTTTCAGGGGGAGACCAAAAACCGGTCCAACGATAAAAAAAGTGGACTTGATTCGCTACCTGGAAGAATCAGTACTGACTGAAGACGAACTCCAATCTCAGAAAGGCACAACACACATGGAAGGCCGTGGTCAGATGACATATGTGGGGAAAAATATGAAAGTCGTGGAATGGTTATTGCAAACTAAGAAAGAAATGAAATTCAAAGAAGGGAATAAATGGCACTTTGTTTTCTTTCGCCCCTGGCTCCCCAAGGCCGAATGGCAAACGAAAAGAGAAGAAAATAAAAGAAACATTTACTGGGTCATGGCTATGCGTTTCCCCATTGCCGGCTCACTGTTTATTAAGACTGCCTGGGAAGCAACAATGGGTAAAGTAATAATGGAATTCGATCCCATCAGCGACCCGGAAGACCCCAAACTGGGGAATCTGAAGTATCAACTTCACCCCAATGTGGAGGAAAGCTTCCATCCACGCCTCAAGATTTGGACCGGTTCAGATTACCTTATGGTTGATCTAATCAACTCAAACACCCCCTGGTGCTCTCAGTGCAGCAGACATGGTCACAGACCGGACGATTGTCCTTTCTGTGACATCTGTGACAGATACGGTCACTCGACCGAATAGTGCAGATCAGAAGAGGGGAACAGACAGCGTAAAGCCAACTCAGGCCCACACCATATCCAATCAAGTTTCCGCATGCAACCTCAACTGTTCACCCCACTGGGGGCAAGGAAAAACTATCGGGATGAGTTTGCCCTCAAGGACAAGGGGATGCAACACTTGATGGGCAGGAAGAATCAACCAAAGTGGAATCAAAACAACGGTTTCCTCAGACCGCATCCTGGGCCCCAATCTTTCCGTCCCGGGGCTAGCGACCCCAGCCTGCACGGTCCTCAAGGTTTCCAACCAACTCCTACCGGGAAGATGACTTGGCGCCCCGTTCGCCCATCCGGTAATGGATCCACCTCTTCCGGGTTTGGAAACGCTGGAGGAGCCTGCTTCACAGCAGGTTTCTACATCCCCACAACTGAGCAGGCATCAGCATCAGATAGCGGTACCAGGAAACAAGGTCCACTCTCAGACAAGAGCACTGTACCCAGAACGGATCAGACACGGGACAACCAACAGGACACAGTCCCCATGGGTGCGAAAGACAAAACGGGGGGTATGCCCCCTCACTCCTTTCAAACCCCAGCCCTCCTGGGCCCGGTCACACCAACAGCCCAGCAGGAGGCACCGTATGTAATGGCCCCATTGATTTTTAAATAGTCAAACCAGACCACCCTCCTTCTGCTTCAACAGAACGATAACAACAAACTCTTTCTTCCCTCAGTCACTTCTAACACTTTCCCCCACCCCATCGAATTTCTCTTCTCAGCGAGAAGGACTCTGGACAAACGCTATTTCGTAAGACCGGTCCCATCCATGCCGTGTTCATCTGTATACACGAAAGGGCACTCTGGGAAACTGCATCCTATTCTCAGCATGTGCCTGGAGGCGGCACAGGCCCCGGTACAGATCCGGCCGTGGTGGACAGAGGTTTGTTCTGGGCCCCAATGGCCTGGTTCAAACAGAACAACACGAAAGAGCGATTCTACCCTTCACTGGGAGATGGAATCAAAGGGGACATCATTGCCGAATTAGACGAACACATCCCAAGAGAACGATCAGTTTTTTCCAGATATATTCCGGAATCAGCGAAGCTTCCCTGGGGTGTCTCTAGTCTAATGGACAACCCAGGGCCCCTCCCTGCGCCTATCCAACACGGGCCGCAGTCGGAGGCGACGAATAGACGATAGGCTATCCGTAGCCTCATGGAACGTTCGGGGACTGATAGATGCTAAGGGCAAGCACAAACGCTCTCGTCTCAAATCGTGGGTTCGCTCCCACAGGATATCTGTCACAATGCTACAGGAGACCAAACTCTCAGAGGAACGTCTAGCCTCTATGCCAGCCTGGTGGAACGGCCCACAGACCTGGGCCCCTGCTCAAGGCACCAGGGGAGGCACGGGAATCTTGATCCATAAAAAAACTCTTATCTTGCATCAAGGATTCCAGAACAGACCCATTGGGACACTGGTGTTGGACCACCATGGACATAAATAATCAGCTTGGTGCTTTATGTCTGTGTATGTACCGTGTGACCATAATCTCAAGTCTTCCTTCCTGACGTCCCTGTCTAGCATAATTCCGAACACGGACCACCTGCTAATTGGGGGCGACTGGAACACAGTCCCAAATCAGGAACTGGACTCCACAACCCCACTCTCACACCCCAGGGAATCGGCAGATCTCAACGACTTTATGACTGATCATGGTCTTTTCGACCCATTCCGCTCTATGCACCCGGACTTACAAGTCTACACATGGGTCTCCTCTATTCCAACGGAGAAAGGCATTTTTACACGCAGAAGGCTAGATATTATTATGTCAAACGATAGCGCTCTGCAACTGGTCAATAAAGCTGAGACGGCCACAGACCCTATGTCCGATCATATGCCAGTATGGCTGCGCCTTAACCTGGGGACTCAAATCTCAAGGGGCAAAGGCCTCTTCCGGCTGAGCTCTCATGTCCTTGAAGATCCGGGAGTAGTAGAATGGATATGGAGATCATGGGAGGAATGGAGGGGTAATACGGAAATCTTCAATAATGACGGCCTCTGGTTGGACAAGGGTCTGTCCCTTATCTCCAACCAGCTCAACCTCATCTCTCGTGTCAAGGCGGTAAACAGAAAATACGATGAGATCCAGATTAAAAGGAAGATTGAGCAAATTGAAAACAGACCCACAGACTGTTTTTTCTCTGAATCAGTGGCCCACAAAAAGAGATCTAGACTCTTGCAAGAATGGCAAAACATGCAGATAAAGCACCATAGCCTGTGGGAATCTTATAGACAGATCGATAAAATCCTGCACACGGACCGTCTAACTAATAAGACAGCAACAACCATCAAGCATCTCCGTGGCCCTACCAATATTACCACACTGACTCACCCCACCGACCCCTCTCAGCCTCCAGCAAAAGATTCTGATTCCTTATGTGAGTATGTCAGGATTTTTTATGAACAGCTATTGACATCCGAAAAGTCCCCGAACTCCCCCATTATCCCCCCCCACCTGGAGCATGCCCTATGGGATTCAGCCAATCGTATCCTGTCGGATATGGAGTCAGCCTCCTTGGAAGGCCCAATAACGTGGACTGAACTTACTGCTGCTCTTGAGAGCATGGCCAAAGGCAAATGCCCTGGGCCAGATGGCTTATCAGTAGAATTTTACCTGAAATTTTGGAACCTTCTAGCACCAGATTTGCTGCGAGTTTTCAATCAGATCCTCATGGAGCAGCCTTTGGGCCCTCACACAGCAGAAGGTATCATCACACTTCTTTACAAAAAGGGGGATAAAACTGATGTCAGAAATTACAGACCAATTTCTCTACTGAATGTTCATGGCAAGATTCTGGCTAAGACTCTCTCTCGCCGTATTAAACCTCTCTTAACTAAATTGGTGCTTCCAGACCAATCCGGTTTTGTACCGGGCAGACAAGTACTGGATAACGTGATGACGATCTCCCAGTCGATCGATTGGATCAGAACTCATAACCTTAACAAGACAGTAATTCTCATCGACTTCCAGAAGGCATACGACCGTGTTAACTGGGACTTCGTTCAGGCCACCCTTGAAAGAGTGGGGGTCGGACAAAACTACCGTAAGCTGGTCAAAGCCCTTTACGGAGCATCATCTGGAAGAGTCTTAGTTAACGGACATCCCTCCTCACCCTTCAAAGTTTCCCGTTCACTGCGCCAGGGGTGTCCGTCGGCCCCCTCCCTCTTCGTTATTCAACTTGAAGTCGTGCTAAACATGATTAGAAAACACCCGGACTACTCTGGACTCCAATTAACTCCATCCTACTCTATCAAAGTATCGGCACTTGCTGATGATCTCTTGGCTATCTCCGACAATTCCCCTGCTTCACTGGCTGCTCTGGAACATTGTTTGTTCATCTACGAAGCAGCTTCCGAAATGCGGGTGAGCTGGCAGAAATCTGTCGCCCTCACCCCAAACGGGCAACCTCTACCATATGATCTGGGCATTCCAGTCAAACCAGAATTGGAACCGGAAAGATACCTGGGTATCCAGGTCTCTTTCGGGAACTCTACGGAGGAACAGAACGCAATCGTGGAAAACAGGATTAGAGATGCGTGCGCCACCTGGTCCGAAACAAAATTCTTGTCTCTAATTGGAAGAGCAATCATTATCAACACCTTCGTGTCATCAAAGATATGGTACATTCTGTCAATCAGAGCTCCCTCCCCTAATTCATTCACCAACATCAGACGGTTTTTAACTAGACTTCTATGGAAAGGAAACTCCGAAGCACAGTCCGCCATCAGCAAAGTGAGTTGAAAAAAGATAACAGAAAAAAGAAACGCAGTGGGATTGGGCATATTAGACCCAGAAAAAGCAAAATTGAGCATTTCTGGCAAAATGGCCAGTGCGAGCACTGACCACAGTAGAACAACAGCCCTGGATCATTCTTGCTCAGCACTCTCTGGCCAAGCAATGGAATTTTTCCGACCCAGACGCAGTCTGGTCGGCACTTCTAATGCGCCCCTTCACCTCCAGAACTAACACTGCCACATGGTCCTGCATTCTGAAAGCATGGGGCAATATGCTCCCTCAGATCCTAGAGGAACCCAGTACCCGTCAGGAAATCCTTGACACCCCCCTCTTTGAGAACCCCTCCATCCGTAACACAGCTGGATTTCCCTTCTCTGTAGCGAAAGCACCCGGAAACTTTGGCCTCAAATGGATGCAGCGGGGCATATGGCTGATACGCCACTTGTGGAGCGACGGGTCGAAGAAGTGGAAAGATGTTGACGACCTCAAGCCTCAACTTACGGGCCTCCAACATTCCCCAGCTTATCTGTTGGAGATCATCACGGCCATCCCGGCTCACTGGGTGGACACATTGCAGAAGACAAGTTTCATGGTGCAGGAGCAACAGTGGTTCAAATCGGATACCTTGGACGACACATTCTACAGAATAGACAAAGTGAACGAAGATAATACTTTCGAAGCTTCAGAATGGTCGATGCGGAATACCATCTTAAGGCAAACCAAGGAATCTCACCAGATGGAGGTGGCAGGTTTGATGGAGATCAAGGTTCAACAGAGTCGAAACCCACAAGATGTATCAGGATTCCGGGCCGTCATGCATGCATTGCCCCTCAAGAATTGGAAAACTGATGTATGCAGGTATGGCTGGTCCATCACTGATTCTGAAGGTGTAACTAAAAAGGTACCTGTCAAGGATTAATCTTCCCAAGTGGGTTATGCGATTCAGTCGGACGCGCACTCCCTCCAGGCTGGGCTTACACTGACCTGGCAACAACACCTGTCATCTCTGAAGCTGCAACCTATGTCCCCCAGATGGCTCTTGTTTTTCATTCATCTCATTTCTTCCTCCCTCGAAACAGAGGTTGGGGGTCTCCAATGGATGCACCTCCATTCCTGCGTCCCAACAGCACTATGGTGCGCGGAGAGAGGAATGGACATCTCTACCCGCTGTGATGCATGTACTCACCCATGTCTGGAAGATTGGTTAAACCTATGGTGGGAATGTGTCATAGCAAGGGGCTTCTGGGACACAATGAGCTCTTGGTGGGCAGGAGCCTACAGCTTCACCGCGTTCTGGAACAAGGATTTCGTCATCACAGGGAGACTGGATCCTCAGTTTAGAGATCATCAAATCGGAAAGATTGCCCTTTGCTTTCGACTCAGGGTGTTTTGGTCTTTATGGTTGGATAGAAGAGATAGACGTTTTTTAGGCACTGAGCACACTATCCGGTCTCTGACCGCACAGTTTAAGCACTCTATTAGATTGGATATTATGGCGGAATGGATTTCCTTTAAGCGACGGTTTGGGGTCAAGGAAATAGCTAGACACCATTTCCATAAGAAATGGTCATCGCTCCTCAAGTGGGCTTCTCTGATTGACAATGATAAAATTATCTATTCCGAGTTGCTATGGGACAACCTCCCCCGGACCTAGTTCAGTTATTTTCCTATCAGACAGCCGGTGCTGAGAGGGTCAAGGGTAGGATTGTCTGTCTACCATGTGCAGCCCGGGTAGACTGTGAGGACCCCGGCCTCAACTGATTTTATAAGGGACGTTGGGCCCGGTTCCCAACAAAGTGCTGCTCCCCACGAATAGAACGGAGCTGTTGTTTCTGTAAAAAAAAAAAAAAAAAAAAAAAAAAGAGATACCTTTTTTACTAAATGGTGGAGGCCGTGGCATTCAGGAGGTTGTGGGTTCAAGCCCCATGGCCGCCTGCGGCGCACTTAGTGCCAACGGACTGTGATAGTCCTCTGGATACCCCTGATCGGTATTAGCGGGGTCTATGACCAACACGGGTGTGAGTGTGAGTGCAAGTGGGTTGTGTGTGGTGTGTGGGAGAGTGTTGGCCATAGCCTCTGCTGCTACTCGATGAAGGGTGGGGGACGATGAGAAAGGGAGGCACAGCTACTGGCAGGTCTCAGTCTTTGTGTTAGCCAGACCCCCACTGGCGGCCCCAACCCTATACCCTAACCATTAGGGGCAAGGGGCAACATGAAATCTCCCCTTCACAGAGGGAGGAAACTATGCTTGCAGGGGTCCCCTCTAAATAGTCTTAGGAGTAGGTAGTGGAAGGTGGGGGAACAGAAGTTGAGARAAGAGTATAGGGAAAAAAAAAAAAAAAAAAAAAAAAAAAAAAAATTGCAGTCCAGCCGCCAGTGGCATATTGGAACCAACCTTCAGAAATGCTGTGCTGTGCCAGTGCCGGCGGGACTATTGAAAGATTTTGCTTGAGCCTACCCGCATGAGGCGGCAAGGTTTGCTCCTCGCTTTGCATCTGGGGATTTGAGCTTGTTTTTTTTTCACGCCCTCACCTGAGCTTAGTTCTGCGCGCCGTCACATCGATTTGTTTTATTTTGCGATGTCCATGGCGCATTATCATATTATGTGTAAATGTTAGGTTGGGCATGGGCTGGTGCGGGTGAAACGGAAAAAAAAGGTCCCGGGTGCGGGCGGCTAATGATTTTCTTGCGGGTGCGGGTGGGTCCGGGTGAAGTTTTTTTTTAACGGATGGCAGGCGGGTTGGGCATAGGGGCAAAATATTGGAAAAAAACTTGGGTGGGGTGGATCACCTTAAACCACCAGTACCTACCGCATTTTTCATACGCCCCCGGGGGCCAAGTCCCATTTACGCTGATCCTTGATTTCTGGTCGTTGATCTTCTGAATCTGCAGTCAGAAATCGATCACTCAGGTAAGTGGGACTGGGCCCTGGGTCGAATGAATATGGACCCTAGGGGCAGACCTGGTCGGCTACGGTGGCTGCACCAACCGGGAGGTACTGGTGGCTTAAGACTTTTTTTTTTTTTCACCACGAAAACTTTGGGCGGGTTGCGTGAAGTGGCAATTCCAAAAAAAAAAGTTCCTCTCTGGCAGGTTGTTTGGCGTATTACGTGTGTGGCGGCAGCTGTGGTGGCGGCTTGCAGTAATGCTGTCCGGATGGACTGTCTTGGAAATCATTTAACTCGGTTTAAACCACCAGTACTTGGCCCAGCTATCGGCCGCGGCGATTTCCCGTTAATGCGCCGCGCCTTTAGGTCTTCGGGGTACCGGACCACAATGGCGGGAAGCGCCAGCCAAAACAAAATTGAAATGGTACCCCAGGCGCTTCGGCGAAAATCGGCGCGCAGGGGCATTCCAGGCTCGACATCGATAGCTGGGCCAAGTACTGTTGGTTTTGGTTTAAACCACCAGTACTTCCTAGAGTCGTGCCCGTTAACACGCCACAATTTTAGGAAACGTACGGGTTACTACAGGACCGGCCAAATTCATCCGATTAGAAACGTTTCTACTCTTTTTTTTTCCACGGCCGATAGTTGGGCCAAATACCGGTGGTTTAAACCATCAGTACATCCGGAAGTCATTCCCGCATGCGGCTGCAACTTTCAGAGGAGGAACGAGCCACTACAGAGGCCCCCAAATTCAGCCGAGTTGAAACACTTCGACTCTTTTTTTCTTCTTCTTTTTTCCCGCGGCCGATAAATGGAAAAGGTACTGGTGGTTTTATTGACGGCAGTTTCTTTGCTGTGACTACGTGGTCTTTGCATGTGTGCTTTTTTGCATTTGTGCTCTGACTGTCATGTGTCTATCTTTGCATTCATATTCAATTTGTGGTCTTTCTTTTTTGAAAACCAGTAGCCTCTACGAGAGGGGTTGATAAGAGCAGTTCTCCCTAGTAGGTGCCCCCAGTTGCTCCATGTGTTGGTGGGGAGCGGCACCTGCTCGACAACGGGTCCAGCGTCCGCTGTACGGTGATTACAATCAGGTGAGCTAGAGCATGCAGATGCCATATCGCTCAAACAGGATATGCGAAGAAGGGGACATCAATCAAAAAAGAAAGAGGGAATTTAGTAAGGGCCATCACGCCTGAAGTTCCTTCTACGCACATTGGCGTCCTCTCGCTTACACTTAGCAATAGCATAGCGAAGGGTGCCATAGGAGACGAAAATACGAAAAACCCTCAGCCAGAAAATAGTGAGATGCAGAGCCCACGTAACCAAATTGAGCCATTCCACAGTGAGATTCGTAAGGTACTGCAGCTTTCCAATATAAACAGTGAGAAGAGCTAACTTCAATCGACTCGTAATGAGATGGGGAACACTTCACACATGTGGGGGAGCAATGTATAGAGGTAAGGGAGACACAACACGAGGTAGGTAAACAGGGGACGTAAGAGTGAGTACGAGCATACAAGGAGTCAACACAAGAGCGCGCAGCAGTATTTCTTGAAGCCCAGGCGATTGAACGATAAAAACAACATGAAGATAGTGGTCGCCCCGAAAGGCTTATCGGAGACAGTAGGTGCTGACGCGCGAAAGAGCATCCGACTCGTCCTTGGAGAAGCATATATCGGCAACTCCCGACATGTTTCGACTGACGCCGATGATCAGTCATCCTCAGGGGAAAAAAATCACTGGTCACCAAGATGAACAAGATCTGCGCGCGGGGCAGATAAATAGGATTCCAGAGATAGTCACGACTACAGAAGCGCATGAGAGAGAGAGAGAGAGAGAGAGAGAGAGAGAGAGAGAGAGAGAGAGAGAGAGAGAGAGAGGAGGAAAAAGCAAGTTATAGGAGAGGTATGTAGGGGGACAGGAGATAAAGCAAGAGGCAAGGGATACAAAGAACTGATCTGTGAATAGATAGTTGATGTCGCCTGATAGTAGTGGCACAGTGGACATAGAGGAAGATGTAGAAGACAAGGAGCCGCCAAAGAGAGAGAGAGATAGATAGATAGATAGATAGATAGATAGAGAGAGAGAGAGAGAGAGAGAGAGAGAGAGAGAGAGAGAGAGAGAGAGAGAGAGAGAGACGATGCATGCACGTCAGCGGGACGGGAGAGATCCGAAAAGGCCAGAACGCACACACAGAATCAACGCAGGTACGCGGGCAAGAGAGAACTGAAGCGGCCAGCGCAGCACATATGATACCGAAAGGGCCGAGACGTAGCAGGTCCACACACACACACACACACAC